TATAGCTTATATGTCATGTGTGATCAAGATCTAAACTTATAAGTGGTGGATCCAAGGGGAGTGGATATTTATCTTTTTTATTTGTTTGTGTTTGATCAAAGGTTATTAATGAATTGTGATCATGTCTAATTTATTTCAAACATTTAGCTCGTGATCTTAATTTTAAAGTGGTTGATCCAAGGCAAGTGGATATTATTTTTAAGTATTTGTGATGGGTAAAAGGACATTACTGATTCCGGCTAATTGATTTCAAACATTAAACTTACATGTCATGTGTGATCAAGATCAAAACTCATAAGTGGTGGATCCAAGGGGGGTGGATATTTATCTTTTTTAAATATTTGTGAATGATCAAAGGATATTAATGATTTATGATTATGGCTAATTTATTTCAAACATTTAGCTTTTATGTCAGGTGTGAACATGATCTTAATTTAAAAGTGGTGGATCTAAGGGGAGCGGATATTATTTTTAAATATTTGTGGTGGGTAAAAGAATAATAATGATTATGGCTAATTTATTTCAAACTTTAATCTTACATGTCATGTGTGATCAAGAACTTAACTTATTAGTGGTGGATCCATGGGGAGTGGATATTCATTTTTTAAAGAAATATTTGTGGTGTATCAAGGATATTAATGACTATGCCATATTCATTAATATCCTTGATATGGCTGATTGATTTTAAGCATTAAGATTATATGTCATGTGTGGTCATGATCTAAACTGATAAGTGGTGGATCCAAGAGGCATAAATATTTTATTTTTAAATATTTGGGTGAATCAAAAGATTTTAATAGTTGTACTTTGTGATTATATATAACTGAATTGAGTTCCATTAATTAAATATGTAGATATATTGCACATGAATTAAATAAATCCAATCTTATTAGTGGTGAATGCAAGGGGAATGGAGATTTTAAAAAAATCCACAAACTAGACATCATATAAACCTAACATATATAAATATACATTAGTTAAGGAAAGAGACCCTCTTTGGACACTGTGAATTGGTTGCTATTGTGTTGGTATTAAATTTTCTTGTTTCATTTTTTTAAATATTCAGATTAATGGTCATCGATCAAGTAATCTGTGAAGAGTTTTATGATGTCATGAATGTTTCATTTTGGGAGGCAACTGCCTTAGAAACCTGTTTTCATATAAATCTTCTTTTACATAAGCAAAAATTTGAAGAATGAATACTTGAAAATTTGAAAAATAATAGATATTTGTTATAACTATCCACTTTTATAAAATGAGAAACAGAGAAGATACTAATGAACCATTAGTCCAAGAAAAAAAACCAAGTTTTTAGGAATTATCTTACAGTAAATATATCAATACATGGGATTTAAAACCCCATGATAAAGAAACGTGGGAGAAAAAACCCCATATGACAATATAAGCAACATATGGGTTTAAAAAACCTACATTGATTTTCGTGGGGTTATTTCCCCCATGGGGTGAAAAATAAACCCCATGGGGTTTTTGTGGGTTTTTTTGTGGGGTATTTTTAAGTTCATGTTTCCCCATGGGATTTTTGTTTTTGAACTCAAATATCTCAAAAACTAGCAGAAAATGTTGAATTTTTTTTTTCATAAATCAATTTGATTATAAAAACCCCACCATTTAAAAAAAAACCTAAGATGATAGCTTTAAAGGAAAAGGGTGCGCAAGTTCGGAAAAATGTCCATTCCGAAGTTGTCCGTCCCACTGTTATAGGATATGGGTAAAAGAAGGGGAAACTTTTCCCTTTCTTTTTACCTGCATTAAATTATTTCTATGTCTTCTCGACTCCCTGCTCTTGGTTGGAGTGGGGAGAATATAACTCTCTCATTCCCTTGCTGGGAGAGGGAGACATAGGATAGGGAAAAAGATAGGAAACTTTTCCCTTTCTTACCTGCCCTATTCCTATGTCGTCTCGACTCTCTGCTTCTGAATCCCATGCTAGGAGAGAGTGTGGGGAGAGAGAGAGTGTGGGGAGAGAGAGAGTGTGGGGGGAGAAAGAGTGTAAGGAGAGAGGAGTGAGTGTGGGGAGAGAAAGTGTGGAGAGAGAGTGTGTGTGTGTGGGGGGGGGGGGGATGGGAGAGAAAGTGTGGGGAGAGAGGAAAGAGTCGGGAGAGAGAAAGGGGAGAGCGTGGGAAGAGAGGAGGGTGAGAAGAGAATGGGGAGAGAAGAAAGAGAGTGGGGAGAGAGAATAGAGTGGAGAGAAAAGGGTAGTGGGGATAGAGAGTGGGGAGACACTCGAGAGAGACTAGTCAGGGAGAGAGGAGACATGGTGTGGAAAGAGAGTGAGTCGGGAACAGTAAGAGAATAATGAGAGGGTTGTTTGTAGGAATATAATGGAGCAGGGATAATAGTAAAAGAGAGAGGTGGAAGGGAAGAAAATAGAAAGCTGTTGGGATTGAGGAAGTGGGAGAGAAGGGCAAGTGGGGGAGAAAGTATTGGGGGGGGGCAAATTCTACAAACATTGATTACAAAACTTTACAGAAAGCCGAACATTTGAAAGTGTAGCTCTTCATGTGTTCTAATACTATAGCTAGTGCTAACAAATCAATAAAGGAAGAGGAAAACAGCAACTGGATCTGAAACCCTTTTTTAAGTCTCCTGTACCCAAAGGAGAGACAGTGTTTGGGATAATAACTGTCTGAATGTCTGTCGCTCAAATCTTTTTGATGTTCATTCTGTTAACTGTTCACTCAATTGTTAATATCTTATTGACCCTGAAGTTTGGCCTATCTTTCAAAAACTTATCCTTGGCTTTAACTTTTGAACAGGTGGTGCTAGGTCTTCATATTTCACATTTCTTAGAAGAACACCTTACTTTGGGTACCGACATAATTATTATACCACTCGCTTGAAAAGCGGGAGGGTATATAGTAATCGGTATGTCCGTCCATCCGTCCGTCTAGCTGTACGTCCGTCCGTCTGGCACGCTTTTTGGTGCCCATCTCTTATCCGCAACTTGAATTCACAGAATCTTTAGTACATATTGCCATTGTGCACCTCCAATTTTACTTTTTGATCCGACACATATTTTGGGTTTCCCACAGCAAAACATGGACAGTGACATCATATTCATTTGGAGGGGGGGGGGGTCATTTAGTGAGCTCATTGCTCACAATACGTCTTAGTTTAATTTGCATTTAAGAAAATTGAAAATTTTCTAATCTTCGCTATGTTGCCATACGAGGACATCAGTGTTTAACAAACACATCTTGTTCTGTGCATTACCTGTGACAAGATATTTCCGAGCATGATTTCTGACCCCTTCACTTTGATCTTCGCGATTGATCTAATCTTCAAAACAATCCACGTCGGTACTAACTTCTGAATGACATACATGATAGGGTTTTCATATTGGACACAATATGTCATAAAAATGACGTCATCCACAAAGACACGGAAAGCAGTGGACCACAATTCATTGATTTTGCTTGTTGTTACTGCGACCAATGCATCATGTTGTAAATTGATTTTGAATTAAATGCAAAATGTATCATGATTAATAACATGATACATTTTGCATTTAATTTTTTTATTTTTATTGAATGAGGGTCCATTATGACCCACCTTCCACTCCGAATTTGTAAAGCCGCTAATCGAAGAATTACTCAGCATTAAAATCTAGTTTCTGTTGTAAAATGAAGTATGATTTATATATCGTAGAGTTTTTTTTTAATTACCGGATTTTGCGTTAGGAAAAACTCTATTGGGAAGTCATGCGCGGATCTAGAGGGGGTCGAGGGGGTTAGCCCACCCCCTCCTGGAATTTTCAAGGTTATTAAATTTATATACCAGGTACTAAAGCAAGAAAAAAGTTACCTTGGACCCCCCCCCCCTCAGAAAACGCAGACCCCCCTGGTAAACGCGAATACGTGTTAAATTGGTATGAAAAGTAAAAGGTTTCTGTTTCAAGCAGTAGAAGTCATCGACTACCCCCCCCCCCCCCCCACGAAATAGGTTTTTGAAGTTTGGGCGAGTTTAGGCTTTTATTTTTATTTGGTTTGGGGTGGACCCCCCCTGGAAAAAAATTCTGGATCCGCGCCTGGAAGTGGATTGGGATCGATGAGGTATTGCATGATTTTACATTTTCATTTACATTAATTTTAAAATTGATATCAAAATGAATGACAACACTCCGTCAAACAATTTTAATTATTTTTCTTTAATTTTGTACATACGTGGTTTTTCCAGTGTAGCTTCCCGATTTTAATAGTTTTACACTGGGAAGATTGCGCACTATGTCATAAATAAAGCAATATCCAATATATATACCAAGAAAACTATTATATTTTTTTTAAATGAATTTCTCAGTTCATTTTAAAAAGACTCCTAACAACTTTTAAGCAAATGGATGCAAAATCTTCCCCAAAATTAAAAAAAAATTTAATTTAATTATTTAAAAATTAATCTCGGGAATACGTGCACTGTAAGACCCCCCCCCCCCCCCCCCCCCCCCCCCCCAAAAAAAAAGGAGAATAAAAGTAAAACACACATAAAATTAATAAACTGCATAGCTATATCAATAAATTACTGAAACGTAAAAATAAAAATATAAAAAAAAATATCTATTCTTTTACACTATCATACATATGTATAAAATAATCCAAGACACACTACCAGTGTTTAATTTCCTGTCTAATTACTTTTTAACGATCTTAAATTCATACATGTAGAAAAAAAAATATAAATACATCTTTAATTCTTGTTTTATTAAAAAAAAATTGAGCTGTTGAGTGCGGATATTTATTGGATTATCTGCCCCTTAAAAACCGGCTTCCGCTAGGTGTAGAGAAAGTCCAAGTGCCACAGAAGCATTTGGATTGAAAACCCGTTGAAGGGTTATAATCCATTCAAGGTATTGTATATTGTGTTTTTCTTGCTCTTAAACATGATTATCTTTACCAGAATCTACAAATAATCCCATGATATGTAATATATTGTTCACACTTTACCAAAACATCCTGGACACCCAGATTTTATATGCGTGTATTGAGGATTGCACATGCTGTTGACACATGTGGTGTAATCACAGTAATGAACATATTTCAATAAGTTATTCATAATCAAAGAGATCAAGGCCTTGTTAAGGTATCGGTATGAAAATCATGATTTTCATTTATTATTTCCGAAACAATAACATGATGAAAATGATAAACTAAACGTAGATCTAATTAGCAGCTGTGTACCCGAATTTTCTCAGTGATTGAATTCTACGAGGGGAAGTTTCATTAATTCCTGAACCACTCGCAATCTTGAAATTATTCTAGCAAACTTTAATGAATCAACCATGTTACCATGTTTTTTTTTCTTCAAAAATTGAAAACGCAGAGCGCCTTGCTCTGTATATATTTTATTTCAATTAAACATCATAAACACATTGAAGGAACTTTAGATCAAACCAACAAACAACAAGGAAGCAGCTTAATATCCCAATCTTACCAAACAATTGGAAACAGTGTTTATTTTAATGCAAAATGGTGTACTTTAGACCATGAGATCATCCCAAGCCAATTGACAGGAATCTCCTAACAACTTTTACCATTGTTTACTCGAAAACAAATGTAACGGGAGAGGAGGAAATGCAGCGGACCAGACCGGGATTCGAACCCGGGCCCCCTGAAACTCCGGTCAGGTGCTCTACCAATTGAGCTATCTGGCCACTGGCGATCGAACCCGGCTGACCGCTACATTCCTCCCTCCTTAAAGGTCTTTGGCCCTCCTAAGACCTCAACCCAGGCTCATCCCTGGCAGGTCTTTCACCTGTCAATTCCAGGGCATGGCACGGCACCAAATGTAACAGGAGAGGAGAAAATGCAGCGGAACAGATCGGGATTCGAACCCGGGCCCCCTGAAACTCCGGTCAGGTGCTCTACCAACTGAGCTATCTGGCCACCGGCGATCGAACCCGGCTGACCGCCACACATATGTTAAAATATTTACAGCGAAATAAAAATAAGAAAGGGAAATTTATTTCACTGTCTATAAATATTAGTAATTACAAGTTGAAAATGTTTTAATTTTACTTTGAACTCATAGACCGGGTTTGAAAGATGAATTAGCAGAAAAATGTAGAAAGTATTTTTTGACAAGAAAATATGTATATTTATTATATTTTTGTTATCTTATTTGTAGGTAAAATGTCCAGAAAAAATGACAAATCGACAGCTCCGGCTGACAAACTGACTCGTATAGCCATTGTGAGCAATGACAAATGTAAGCCGAAGAGATGCAGACAGGAATGTAAAAAGTCATGTCCTGTTGTTAGAATGGGTAAGATCTCTAAACCTAAATGAAAAGAGAGGACAATACTAAGTCCCATAGTTGAGATGTGCTTACTTTTATAAGGAATATCTTTATCAATGCAACATTGGGTAAAGTTCAAGTTAATTCAGAAAATTTAATTTTAAAATTGAAAGAATCTAAGTTTATTTACTCAACATTTGACTGTTTAATATTATGTTGTTGAGAATTGTGGTTATGTATTTATATCAGTTTGAAAAAAAAGATGAATGTCGCTTCTTTTTTTAATCTAAGGTAAAAATATCTCTTTCTACATGTTGTAATGATAAATTTCTTGTGTAGGAAAATTATGCATAGAGGTCACTCCTGCAGACAAAATAGCTTTCATTTCTGAGGAGCTCTGTATTGGATGTGGTATATGTGCCAAGGTAAGCTGTCTCAGAAGAATTCTTTTTTAAACATTATTATCTTATTAATTAATAAATATTCTTAATTGACCATCAAAATATTCTATATAAATTAAAAAGAGGCATCTTAACATCTTAAGAATGTGCAATGCATCTACAATGAATGCATGGACAATTATGAACATACAGATAGAGAATCATTCTTTGTATTCAAGGTTATAAATATTATATTTCTTAAATATATTTCTACTTTTTATCATGTTTATGCACTAAATTTAATATAAGGTATCCTGTAGAATTTTCATAAATGTTTGTGAAACTATGGACTGATCATTTACACTGGAGAAGCATAGCACACATATCTCCAAATACTTTTTTTCAGAAATGTCCTTTTGAAGCTATATCCATCATCAACTTACCCAGTAATCTGGAAAAAGACACAACCCACCGATACAGTGCTAATTCCTTCAAACTTCACAGGTAAATCCTGCAACTCAGTAACAGTTTAAGATCTCATCATCTCATTTTATAAGTGATGTAATGGCCTAAAAAAGTACAATGCTTATCACACACAGTAAAAAGGGTTAGGTGGGGTAAATAGTGATGGAAATGTTTGTTGGCCTACATGTATCAGTTTGTTTCAACTTGCCATTATAATTGATATGGTAGCAGGGTATCATTGTGAGCTCATTCCTTACTGTAACACTGGTATTCACACTGACATTTATTTAGTTTATCAATTAGTTTAGTTATATGCACAAGTATTCTATCTTAATCAATATTTTCACCTTTTTTCCGTCTAGACTTCCGATTCCCAGACCTGGAGAAGTGCTGGGATTGGTCGGCACCAATGGTATTGGAAAGTCCACAGCGCTGAAAATTTTGGCAGGAAAACAGAAACCAAACTTAGGCCGCTTCAATGTAAGAATTAGAAACCATTTAGATGTAAATGGAATGCATGCCATAGGGTATCCTTTTCTGTATTAATTCTTAAAGACCAAGGCACAGTTAAACTTGGTTACCAAGAAATTGCCTGTAGGAAAATGTATGTTATAAGGAAACTTTTATGAATCCTGTTGAAGGCTTTGCACTTTGTTTCTTATACAGATATAAAGGTCTTTGATATACACTTGAATAGTTAAGCATCATAAGGAAGCAAAATTGGACATGCATAATTACAGGCATGAAAATTCATATTCAGTTGAAAAAAAAAATTGAGAAATGTTAATATAACAAACATAATTTTCAAAATCTTTTCAAAGAGAAAACGGTGGGAAATTATGATAATTTCTTATATTTAAGGAGTTTTGCTGGCTGTGTTAATTGTATAGTGTTTATGTAGAGGTTGCTAAATGTTTTACATTTTACATATACAGTTGTTTGGCCAGTTCCGAATAAGAAACCGATTCGGCTGAGCTATAAATATACTAGACATTATTTCAAAATTTAAGTGTTTTGTCAAGGTAGTTCGATGACTTGTGGAATTAAATATTGTTTTATAAAAATTCATCCTGCCTTCAAAAAAATTTATTTCGCAAGTTACCATAGGTGTCATTTTTACCAGTTACGAATAAGCCGACGAGTTCCGGATAGCCCAGAGATTCTTATTCAATTCAACCCTAAATTAAAAAATATACGTCCCAGATGTTATCCATTGGC